TATGGGACCGGTGCGTTTGGCTAGCGAAGAAACCCTTTCCTCCTTTAGCTTTGGCAGGCCGAAAGGGCTCCGCTGAAGGTCAGATGAGTTTTGGAGAGGGGGGGTGATGGAGTGGGTCGAAGTGACATGTGGGGCGGTGGCTACAGAGCTCCAGTTGAAGGGAGGTCATCGCTGTTGGTCTGAGGTGGCAGGAAGATGATTCAGGGAGCTAAAGCAGAGGGAAGGAAAAACTATCAAGACGATGCTCTTATTTTTTCGTAGTGACTCTGTCCTCAGCTGTAAGGGTGGAGACGAGAAGTTCGTGGTCCAGTAAAGAGGCAAGGGAGGTTCTCAGCTGTGTTTTGAAGGACGCAGGCCAGCGTTTTTCTCATCTTGTAGAGTGTAAAAGCTTTTTTTGGGGGGGCAAGCACGGGTAGGAGTGCGTTAATTTGGAGGCGGTAGGTTAAGTTGGTTACGCTGAACCGGACAGAGAGCCTTACGTTGAAGACCGCTGGTTTCTAGAGAGAGAACGACAAGCGCGAAGAGAGGAGAGGATCGCTGCTGGGGCTGTGCTGTCTCGTTGCTCCCAGTCTGTCCGGATTGGAGATGAGAAGCCCACTGGGCCAGTCTGGTGCCTGTGTCTTCCCGTCTCAGCCCAGTAGGATGTTTCGGTGAGTCCACGTGCTGAGGGTTGCTCCCCGGCCTGGGACGGCCCACGTCCATCCTGGTGAAGGTCTTCAGGTCTTGACAACCAGGTGATGGCGTGCAAACTGTCCCGCAGAACCTAGCCGGTGTGCGCCGGGGCTGATGCGACATCCTGGCAGCGGGGACAACCCTGCACTGGGAAACCTCTCCGGTGCCCCTAAAGCGACTAATTCAAATGTACCCTTCCCTTCCATTTGGAGTCAGCTCTCGTGATTTATTTCGCTTTCGATCCTTGAAGGTCGCGGGGCTGAAATTGTGAGCTGATGGGTTGGGCGCGTGTCTCTCCCCACAGCTCTTTGGCGAAGGGGTCCCTTTTAAAAAGGGTCTGCGACGAATGAGATGCACAACCAGAATTGCGTCGTTTTCAGAAATACTCCATCTTAATAATTATCTCCAAAAGGTCCACGTACAGGTTTCTGGACGCCCCTGCGTGGGCAGCGCGCTTCCAACTCCGTCGGAATGGTCAGGGCGACTCCTCCTGCTGACACAAGCCCGGCACCTTCCTCATTTCCCTCGATCCGTGAGCAGCAAGTTACTTTAGAGCTGATGAGGAGGTCAAGTGGTGGATGAAAATAATTGGAAGATGACTTCAGATGAAGATGTCTTGGTGGATGTAGGAACTTTGCCGTGCTGTGGCTTTCTTGTTTGTGGCACTGATGGTCTGGAGAAATTGCCAGTGAAGGTGGGAAGGACTCGATCCGTGAAAATCATGTCCATCTCTTCAACCTTGAATATTGCTCACATATGTAACTCCTGTTACTAGTGTTTTATTTTACGAGGCTCAAAAATAGCCCCGTTTCTCTGTGACACCTCTTACTTCAAAATAACTTTGACTCTTTGACCCACCGGTGATGGAGATTTATTCTTTCAAGTGAGGAATAGCGAAGAATGGGCAGAGCCGTTCTCGGGTGAGCTCCTCTGGGAATTTGAGACGATTAAATGGAGCCACATCTAACCACAGTGCTCCCCTTCCTGTGCCCAGTAGGTCCCTGATGACTGGTACTTGCCGAAATGGGAGTTCGGGGTTACTGAAATGATGGCAGAAGGGAAGAGTTTGGGGTTTTCCACATCTGTGAGGTCTTTTGATGCCCAACTGTGTATTAATACAATATTAACGAAGCAAGGTTTCTCCGCTGGGTTTCTAAAGATGCCGGAACTACGAGCTGTGGTCTCGCCGCCTTCTCTCTACCTAGCGAAGGGCTTCTGTGGTGACACCGTCCGCAGGAGAAACAGAACGAAGCGAATATCTTTGGGGTTGCGCGTCGCGCGTCGTCTTTGGGGTTGCGCGTCGTCTTTGGGGTTGCGCGTCGTCTTTGGGGTTGCGCGTCGCGCGTCTTGTATCTCCTCTTCCCCCTACCTTCCCCTATTTACCAGCAAATAACGAGGTTTATGCCGTCTCTTCCCAAGGGGCTGTTAGAGAAACTGTGTTCGGATGCCCGAGTGGCGTTGCCGAACAATCCTACTTCAACTAAAGAGAATATTTTTCTTTTTTTTTTTAATTTTTTTCCCCCCCCTCTCCAGTCAAAGAGCTTTGGGATTTGTGGCTTGCTCTGTGTACTCGCTGCTTCGCAGTTGATCTTGCCACTCCGCGAGCCTGCGAAAGCCGAGCCGGTAGGTCAAAAAGAGGAGTAGCTGTTGACACTGGCAGCTAGGAACACGTAAAGAGCAAGATAAACAGAGGGAAATCGGAGACTGGATAAAGTAGATCACCAAAGATAAAGTTTAGTTTAAAGATAATGAGCTGGCCTTGTTTAAAAAGACAGCTGCGAAATAACCCGGTAGCTCCATGTGCTGGGGTTAAAGTTGACCCAGAATATACGTTTCATTGCTTTTCATAAATAAATAGCGGAGGGAAGATTTGGCAAAAAGCAACATTGCCCCCCAGCCCTCTTCAGAGCGAAGCGTTTGATGTTAACAAGTTCTTCGGGTGTTTACTTTGTCCTCCGGGCTCGCTGGTGGAGCGCCTCTCCCGCCCTTCAACCCAACGAGAATTCAAATAAACCGAAGCGCTTTTTCTGCTCAGCCCCTTTTCTTCTTACCCAAACAGCCCCGGCTCGCCTTGGGGGCGGGGGGGGAAACCAGCCTGGTCCGCGGGATCACCGGGGCTTCCCCCAACAGCCCAAAAAAAAAAAAAAAATTAAAAAAATAAAAAAAATTCGCTGGATCGGATAAAACCGCCGTGAAACGGGAGCAGAACTCCACGGCGCTTCTTTCGGCTTCCTCGAGCCGGCGGCAGAAGGCTGGAGTGCCATTTGCGGGGAGAAGCGGCAGTAAGCGAATAACTCTGTAAAATCTAGAGCGATTCTTTTCTTCTTATTATCGGAGTCTTTTCCTCATGTTTATTTTTGCAGCGACGTCCCGATGAGAAAATCCTGTTATTTTGGAAGAAACCACAGGAATGATTTTGCTGTTAATATCTGGATCCGGCTGCTCGGAAAGCGAACGGCCCCACAAGTGCTCGATAAACTGGGAATTGTGTGTCTTGTTGCACTTGTTTCTGCGCCCTGCCAGTATCGCTCCCAGTTACTGTACGTGTGCGAGATACGTGTTTATGTACCCACCTGATAGATGAGATGTTTTAAAATCTATGGTGAGCGTTATCAGCGGCGAAACTGTCTGGGCAGGCTGATAAATGAAGTAGCTGTGCTGGAGGAACGCAAATCTTATTCATCATTGTGTTACAAAGGCAAACAGAGAATTTAAATGAACGACAGCTGCAGATTTTATGGGGTTTTTTTGTTTGTTTTGTTTTTTTTTTCTGGGAAAAGAGAGCGTTTGGTGGAGACTGTCAGAAACACTGTTCCTGAGATTGGCCTCGTGCAAGTTAAGAGTGCGGCTTTTGGGATGGAGTTTGTAGGGTGCTGCTTTCGGGATGAGTTTGTAGGTTGTGGCTTTTAGGACAGGCTTTGTAGGGGGATGCTCGTGGGACAGGCTTTGTAGGAGGATGCTCGTGGGACGGGCTTTGTAGGGGGATGCTTTCAGGATGAGTTTGTAGGTTGTGGCTTTGGGGACGGGCTCTGTAGGGGGATGCTTTCGGGATGAGTTTGTAGGTTGTGGCTTTGGGGACGGGCTCTGTAGGGGGATGCTTTCGGGATGAGTTTGTAGGTTGTGGCTTTGGGGACGGGCTCTGTAGGGGGATGCTTTCGGGATGAGTTTGTAGGTTGTGGCTTTGGGGACGGGCTCTGTAGGGGGATGCTTTCGGGATGAGTTTGTAGGTTGTGGCTTTGGGGACGGGCTCTGTAGGGGGATGCTTTCGGGATGAGTTTGTAGGTTGTGGCTTTGGGGACGGGCTCTGTAGGGGGATGCTTTCGGGATGAGTTTGTAGGTTGTGGCTTTGGGGACGGGCTCTGTAGGGGGATGCTTTCGGGATGAGTTTGTAGGTTGTGGCTTTGGGGACGGGCTCTGTAGGGGGATGCTTTCGGGATGAGTTTGTAGGTTGTGGCTTTGGGGACGGGCTCTGTAGGGGGATGCTTTCGGGATGAGTTTGTAGGTTGTGGCTTTCGGGACGGGCTCTGTATTTTTTTGGTGCTGAAAGTGGGATCTTCTATAGCAGAACTGTCAGGTGTGCTACGGCCAAGGCAAAGGGCCGTCGTCTTCTAGAAGCAGCCGTGTAGATAAAAGCACGTGCAATGGATGCCCCAAAAGTATACGTGAGAAAGCAGTGTTGGTTTGGGAATATAAATAAGGACGAGATTAATATTGGTGATTTTTTTCTGGGACACGTTTGGCACCGTCGGACTACAAAGCCCGCTAGAAGGAGGAAGCAGATGACAGGTTTAAGGCAATTCTGAGCGATAGCTGCGTCGCGGCGTGTGGATTCATAAAACCTTGTGAAACAAGGGTGGCGTGGTGATAGATGGTCAAATGATTCTTGTTTGCAAACAATATTATCTCCAATAGATAAGCTGTTTACTTTGGACTTCAATTCCTCGGCTCGGAACGGAGTCTTAATTTATCAAGGCAGTACGCTTCGGCGCGCATGCCTCATCCCCCAGCTGCGGAAAAAAACCCCTTATATTAAGAATAGTACTTGGAAACACAGCGAAGTTCAACTTCTAACTCATTTTTACAGATGGTTTCTATATTGCAAAGAATATTGGCTGTTTCCTGGTTGCGCCTCTTTTTTTTTTTTTTTTTTTTTTAAAAAAAAAAAAAAAAAACCCAAAAAACCAACAACCCCAAACACTTTGTTGTAAGAAAGTTAAAAGAGTAACTCCTGAAACTTACAGCAGACATCTGTTTGTTTGTTTTGTAGCTTTTTCGGTGCCTCATCTTAGTCTGGAGCTGGGTGCTTTCAACTTCTGTAATCCGGCGCTATGCATCCGGATCCCGGCCGCTTACAGGCACTGCTCTGCATCGCTGCCGTCGCTCTCCTCTCCGCCGCAAGTTCAGGTAAGACCTGAGCCCGGAGCTCAGACCGCTTCCTTGCAGGTTTCGGAGGTTGAACCCGTAGTTCTGAAGGAGGAACGACTCGCAGCGCGTTTCGCAACAGCCAACTTCAACGCGTATTATCGATAATCCGCTTTTAAGGAAGCGTGGAGCACCTAAATGTGGTCTTAGGTTGGATATCCGTCTTTACTTTTGAAAACTTGGCCGAAAACACGTGCTTGAACGTGGGAGACTTCTCGGTTGCGTAGGTTCGTTCTTTGGGATCTCCGCGGACTGAGCTGGACGTGGATTTTGCTGCGTGGAGCGCGTCTTTGTGTTCCCGTGGGGTTGGGAGGGGGTTGAAATTTGCAGGGGGAGAGGGGAAGCAGATCTCCGAAACGCGGACGCTGATGCGTGGCTGCAGTTGGAACAGCTCTCGCCTTAAAAAAAAAAAAAAATTAAAAAAAAAAAAAAATAAAAAGCAGGGCTGGTTTTAATTGACACATCTGCTCCGTGTAGTCAGCTTGTCTTAACGTAACCGCACAAAAAAGAAGCTTTTACTACTTTTAGCACTTCATAGCCAATCGTTAGAAGCAAATGGGATAAATTTTATTTTTCGAGCAGTCCTAGGAGATAAATCCCAGCTGCGGGGTCACTGCTACCAATTTTTGCCTTTTACGCTGAGCGCGAAGCGGTGGTGTCGGAAGCAAGGGCAGGGGCGGTTTCATCGCTGGTGGTGGGGAGCGGGCTAAAAAGGTCATCGCTTCGCTCTTATCCTTGGAAATTCAAACTGAGCTAATAGGGAAAAACTCCCCGGTTTTTCTAATTAAAAGCTAAAAATGGACATCTGGAGTCCTGTGAAATGCTTGGATACCATTTTTACGGAGTTCATCTTTTGTGTTAAGTGAAGCCACGCTTCCATTTCCAGTTTTATTTTGCGTTTATGCAGATAGTTTATGGTTCCGCTCAAAACGCGCACTTTCGCATCTGAAACTCATAAACAGAGCTTGGATGGACTGACTTTAGAAGAAAAGCATGAGCTGAGGGCCCCACCTAGAAGCAAATCTCTTATTTGGATGTCATTTAATATCTCCTTGACCTGTACTATCTGGGATTCCTTAGCTTATTTACAAACTAGAGACTGTTTTCCCCCTGCCACCGTGTCTATTTCTAAATATATATATATATTTTTCTCCTTTATTTCTAACCAAATAGGAGTTATTGGTGTTAATTGCCTTTTTCTTGCTCCCTTCGTCCAAAACCTTCAGTGGAGGATTCCACAGAAAACAAATTGAAGCAATTCCCAGGGTTTCGTCGGCCTGGGTAGGAAAAAATTTTCCTCCGACAAGCAGGAATTTTCTTCTGGCAAATAAATGGATTCTCAGAACCAAGTCTTGCGGAGCTGAATCTTTTATTTATTAGCAGCTTTTCCTGTTTCTCTTCCTCTTTGCTCAGTCGAGATAATGGATGCCCAATTCATCATTCTTGTCCTGATGAAGTCCGTGTATTTGGAACTAACCAGAGCCTTTGCTGTTCATCCAGTTTGGTTTTTGTTGGTTTTTTTTGTTTTGTTTTTTAATCCTGCTATTTTTTAATTAGTTCTGCAGACCTGGAGACGGTCGCTCTTCAGCCCCCGCCTAAATCCGGTGGGATCGTGCTTCTCGCTGGGGTGCCTTTGCCTCGTACGCGCTCGGGGAGGGATCTCGCCCTCCCTGTACGCCGGACCGACCTTCGTTGAATCGCTCCGTCTTAACGGGGTTTGAATCTCGGCGTTAGAGAGAGTGGGAATCTGTCGTGAGTTCCTCTTGCGGAGGAACCGGTGACACCTTCTTGAGTGTCGTTAGCAGCGTGGAGAGCCTTTATGGGTCCGTGTTCGATCCGAACGGTCTTTTAGCGATATTTAACCTCCCGGGGAAAGAAGTTTGCCGGGTCTGCGAACGGCGGCAGAGCTTTGGGAGGAGAGCGTTCCTATAAAACCGATTACCGTCAGTCTTTTTGTACGAGTCAACGCATCGTTAACCTTATCGCGTGTGTTCCTGCCAAAAGCTGTTCACTATCTGAATAGAATGTTTTGGGGGCTGTTTGTTTTTTTTTTTTTTTTTCTCCTTTTAGATTTAACTCCCCGTTTTAGTTCTGAGCCTCTGTCTACCGTCCAGAAGCCTGGTGGACCCGTACAACTCCGCTGCGCTGCTGAGCCCTCCGCAGCTCGCCTTTCTTGGCTGTTTAATGGGGAACCTCTGGACAGCAAAGCCGGAGAAGTGGAAATCCGGTCGGGATCTTTGACAATCGTCTCCCTCGGCCTGTCAACGTCTGGCCGCTATCAGTGCGTCGCTAACAGCAGCGTGGGCGCCGTCCGCAGCAGGCCTGCAACGGTATCGATGGGCAGTAAGTCAATTTTTCTTTGGATTCCTTGTCCCCTGCGGGTGGTAGAGACCTCAACTGGTTTGTATGGTTTGACTTTTAGAAAACACCACCTACTTTCAAGACGGGTTTTATTCCTCAGCCAGTTGGTATACGATCGATGATACGCTTTTCACCAATTTATTTTTTTTCCTCTGTCGTCTGAGACCTGTCAGGCGGCGCAGCCCTGGAACAGATCCTCCAGAGAGTTTGTGGATCTCCACCTTTGGAGGCTTTTTTAACGAAAGACTCGACTAGACAGAACCGCGGCTGATGGATTGTTGATAGTTGGGGATAGCCGCGTTTCGAGCTGAAGGCTGGGCTGGACCTCAAGAGTCCTTTCAAGCAAATATAAATGTTATTCAGCGAAATAACATTCATTTCGGTGAATTGACCCGAAAGTACAAGGTTGCTGAAAGCATCTCTTCAAAGAGGATCTTGAAACGGCAGCTGAGCTGCCATGGCATCGCAGAATCTTACTCGAGATTTGGTTAGAAAAGAGGAGAGATGAGTGGGAGTCGTTGCCTGGGAAATAAGCGGGAGCTGCAAATTTTCCTTCTTGCTTATTTAATTTCGTTTCATTTGGCCAAAACTGTCGAGGTGTTCTTCAGGTGGGGGCAGTCTTCTGTCCTTTGAGGCGCAATTCCCCTTCTCTCAGTCGCGCTGGTCCTTCTAGTCAGTCCCTGCCGTCGTGCTTGACCTGTAAATTATTTGATCTTAAAGGCCTTTAGAAGAGGAAGGGCCGTGTTTTCCACGGGGGAAGGATGATGTGGTGCTGAGGACGGGAATATAATATTCCTCCCTGAGCACGGTTTGTCTGCTTGGGATCACGGTGCTGTCTCAATCGGGCCTTTGTCAAGCGGGAGTTGAGTGATGTCTCTGTAAGGGTACCTCATCTATGGAGCATGTCCAAAATCCCCCTGGGAGGAAAATTTCTTCAAAGTGAGAGAAGTGAGTGTTTTGGTAAAGTACTGACCCATAGCAAGACCCTCTCAAGAGAGCTGTAAGGGTGGCTAACATAGAAAAACTTTGCAGCATGGAAGATGCTGCGAACGCGAAGGGAGCAGAAGAGCAGCTTTCACGCTTTTCTCCTCCTTCGGAGATTTTTAGCAGCGAGTTCGAAGGTGCCGGTAGCTGCTGAGGCTTCCTGCTCGCCTCATTCCTCGGGGCGAGGAGTGGGAGGCGCCGCTGTACTCAGCGCTGCGTTAATTATAATGGCAGAGAGATGATTGCGGGTCTCTTAACGGACCGGCTTCTTGCTGTGAGCGTAAATTGTCTTCTGCGGCGCCTTCACAACCCGTGAGTAGCACCACGGGCGTTCAGATGTCTCCGCTCGCTTTTCCTGGAGCGGTTGAGGGAACATAGGAACTCTTTTTTTTTCTTGCCTGACTATTCCCTGTAGAAGCTGACTCTCTCCGTAGGAAGGGAGAGTACGTACACGAGAGGGTTTGAAGTGCTACGGACCACAGAAAAGACAATCCCGGTTGATACGAACGCCCCAAAGCTGCACCAGAGAAGACAATCAGCGTGAAACCGGCTACATTTTAAACACAAATACGGAGCTGAGCGCCCTTTCCCAAGCTGTGGCCGCTCTTAACCCTTTACCAATGCTCTTCTAGGTCTGGCTAATTTCGAGACGTCGGCGCAACCTGCCGTTGCGGCAGAGGAAGGAGGTACGGCTTTCCTTGGCTGCCAAGTGCCAGAAAGTAACCCGAAAGCACAGGTTCGCTTTCAAGTGCGGGGAAAATGGCTGGAACAATCGACAGGTGAGGTGTTTTATGCCGCTGGTCAGCAATACGTGTCCAACAAAAGCTTGCCTGGATTTTTTTATTTTATTTTATTTTTTTCTTAAAACTTGAAGGGGGGAAAAAAACCTCCAGAAACTTGTAGAACTTCCTATGCAAGTTACTTTATCTAAACCGACCTTTGTAAATTGATACGCTTTGCATGGCGGCGTGATTTCTTTGTGATCCTACGCTTAGAATAGATTCTGTATCTGACAAGTTAATTAAAAATATATATATTAAAAAAAAAAAAAAAAGGAAAACTTTTCTTGAAATGAAGTTAAACGAAACCTCTTTTTCTTCCCGACTTCTTTAGACAACTACCTAATTCTTCCGTCTGGAAACCTGCAGATTTTGAATGTATCTTTAGAAGACGAAGGATCCTATAAATGTGCGGCGTACAACCCGGTTACTCGGGAGCTCCGAATAGAACTCGCTGGACGTAAGCTCATAGTCACGCGTGAGTATTCACTTCAGCTTTCCGGAATTAACACACCTCCAACCGAATAAATAACGCCCCTGAGATTTTTAGCGTGGGCCCGTCAGCCTAAATACCGCCTGGTCTCAAATACCACGTCACGTGAAATCTGTCCTGCGCCGTTGGCATCTTATTTCCCGTTGCTGTGGAGGAGCAGCACGGCTGCTTTCCAGATCCCGAGAGGAGGGAGCGCTGAGCCCTTGCGAAGAGGACGCGGCTAACGCTCTGCGGTCCCCAAACCGATTTCGGAGCGGGACTTTTGGAAGAGAGCGTTACAGCCTCCTGCTTAGTCACGAGGAGAAGTAACCGTGCTTGAAAGACACGGCAAACCTCAAGGTGGGAGTTTGAAGGAGTGGGTTAGGGATAAGCCTGGTCTCCTTTCCTCCAGGTTCTTCCTCAACCGGCTTCCACATACTTCACCCCCGGACACCCCAGAGCCTGGCGGTGCCCCGGCACAGCCCTCTGACGCTGGAGTGCGTGGTCAGCGGGTCGCCTCCAGCCTCCCTCCGCTGGGTTAAAGACGGCCGGGAGGCGCCGAGAGAAGGCAGGTGGAAACCGCTGCACTCCCATCTGGTGACGGACAGGCTCGAGACGTCGGACTCTGGAAATTACTCCTGCGTGGTGGGGAACGAATCGGGAGCGGTGAAATACGTTAACTATTCGCTTACCGTACTTGGTAAGAAATAAAGAACTCGTCACAGGTCACATTGTCACAAAGGCAGTGAACGTTTTCCTTGTGTACTTGGTTTGCCCTCTGATTACAAACAGCCTATACCCATCCTCAGCCGAAACCTATTAAAATAAAGATACGTTCATACCGATCATATCTCCTCGTCTCTCCTGAGTTTAAAATCCGTAACTATTTATTTCTTCAAATCCTCTGCAGTCTGAAGGGATTAAACAGGAAAGGATAACAAGCTCCCAAGGAAGAACCGATCTATTTATTTTTCTGCGGAGCGCCAAGCGTATACGGGATACAGTGTCCATAATGTGCCAGAGATCAGATGTTTCTCTTTTGAGGTTGTATATAAGCAAAAAGCTGGCGAGGAGAGGCGATATGTTTGGATGAGGACAAAACCAAAAGCAAAACAAATATATCTGGCCTCTTTTGTGTGGCTGCGAGTCGTGCCTCATCTCCCTTTTCTTTTGTAGCAGATTTTCCTGTTGGAGGTTTCTGCCTCTGTGACTGTTTTGGGTTTTGAAATGTAGTCAGGAGAGCAACTCGGAAAGGGGGTGGTTGGCGCGCAGTGCACGGTTTGTTTTGTCGCTAGAGAATTGTTTTGAGGGTGTCTTATTTACAGGATTAATGCAGACATGAGCCTGTTTGGAATAGAAGGGAGAGACCATTAAAATAAGCAAGTGCGGGGAAAACCAGCTTTAGGCTGTGTGGAACTAGACCCACGCGCTGCTTCCTTCGCCTTTGTGTGTAATAAGTTTTGCATAACATTTCAGGGTATTTTTTTTTTCAGGACTTAAGCTCAGATCAACATACGGTGGTTTATGTAAACTTATTTCCCCTCTATAGAACCTGCCTGGATCTCCAAGGGACTGCAAGACGAAACCGTGGCCGCTGGAGCGACTGCGCATTTCTGGTGCGACGTCCGGGGAAGCCCCGCTCCGACCCTCACCTGGCTCCACAACGCAGCCCCGCTCCGTCTCTCTCCACGGCATCTGCCGACGGGAAACCGTCTGCGCATCCGCGGCGTCACCCCGGAGGACTCCGGTTTGTACCAGTGCGTAGCGGACAACGGACTCGGAGTGGCGCAGTCCACTGGGAGACTTCGTGTCCAGCTGGGTAGGAGAACTCGCAGCCCTCAAGAACCCAAATTAAGCATTTGTACTTCAAACTTTATTCTGTTATTTGGTTTTTTGGGGTTTTTTTTGGGTTTTTTTGTTTTTTCCCCCCCAATATATTATGTATTGATTTGTTTCTGACCATTATTTGTAGCAAATCTTACAAAGAAGGTGCTTTCGGTTGAGTTTGAAGAGATGTAGGTATTTCTGGGGTAGTACTTGATACTTCAAACCTGGATTACCAGCTGCGATTGAATCGGCTTATGATTGAATTTGAACATGATTTTATTCTTAAATAGAAGCAGGGTCCCCTTGTGCTGGATGAATTCCTAGCAGAATTGGCGGACGAGTAATTACGCCCGATCCGTATCCTCAGGTTTACAGAACGATCATCAGATTTAGGCTTAGTGCAGACTTCCCCTGTATCAAATCAACAGTTACAATAGTCTTTTTGACCGCTTTCTGGTCTTCCCAATACCTAAAGAACTTGATTTCTGCTAGTAGAAGGATGTTGGCGAGACCCTTACTGTTCCTGCTCTCTCCCTGTCACGTGTAGTCGGAGCTTTTGCCCTTCTCCGCCCCCATTAAGGCGGATGTGAGCTGCACAGAGCCCGGCTGAGCAGATATTTTGTGACCCGCTTGTCTGTGGAGAGGACTAAGCCAGTCTTGCCTGCGCCGTGTTCCTCGTTGGCGGTCAAGTCGTCCTTATTTAGGAACCCTGAAGCGCGGTTTGAGCGTAGTTTTCCATCGGCACAAGTCTCAGCTGAGAGGCTGTCTAGAGAGCTGTTGAGGTGGTCAAAAAGAAGCATCCATGATTATTTTTTTTTTCAATTGTATTGACTCATCGCGGCATTAAGCACCGTATTCCTTCGTCAAATTAATTCTTTGGGGTTTTTTTTTTCCCCCCAACCTAGGCAAAGGCTCTAGGCCAGTTATAGTCTCTCCCCCAGCAAGCATCGCTGTGATGGATGGTGGGGACGTTACGCTGACTTGCAATGCCACTGGCCTGCCCGTTCCCGTCATCCGTTGGTACGACAGCAGAGGACTCATCACCAGCCAATCTTCCCCGGTGCTTCGTTCCAAACCTCAGAAACCTCCTCGAGCCACGCCGGGCAGCGCCGTGGCGGAGCCCACCGCCTCTTCCTCCCCGTCTCAAGCGGGCTGGAGCTCCTTGCACGTTAGGAACGCGACTGCCGAGCGCGGCGGGGAGTACACCTGCGAAGCCATCAACCGGCACGGCTCCGTGGTGTCCAAAGCCTTCCTGACAGTCGGTAAGCTTGACGCGTGAAATTGCGGAGTCGGCTCCTTGGTTTAGGTGAGAAATTGCCTCAAAACGAGAAATCAAAAGGCCTCAAAAAGGAGAAATCGGCGGCAGGTAGGTAGTGCGGGTACCCTGGGGGAAAGGAAGCAGAGGAACCGAAGCTCTCTTCGTGGATGGGTTCCTCCCTTCCACCTTTAGGCGAACGGAGAAACAGCCGTGTGTTGCACCGACTTCGCGTTCTTCTATCTGATGAAACCCCCACCCTCGGATAGTTTTTATTTCTTGACTTTTCTACGAGGAAGAAAAAAAGACAGTTCTCGCACTAAAGGCGAGGTGGGAAAGGGAGATTTCTTCCTTTCTTCACATTGGAGTATTATGTGATATTAATGACAGGTTTCAGCCCCCCCCAAATTCCCTTTGTAAGAACTAAGATACGGATTTGAGTTACGTCTCTTTAGTTTCTCAGCTCTTCCGGCATCTTGCCTTAGTAAATTCAGCTGAACCTCAGCGAGATTTAAGGTCGGCGGAATTTAATACGTGGCCCCGTATTTAAGGTTCTCTGTTACCACCGATTAGAGTTCAAAACTCACGTAAATAATTTGAAAAGATGGTTACAGGGTCACTTAGAGGAAGACAGCGAGAAGAAACCTCAAGAAAGCGAACCCATGATCTTATTTATAAGTTATTGGACTTTGCTGAGCGGAAAGAGAAAACTAACTATCATCTCAGAATTCAGTCTGTGTTGAATAGAAAAATCCCGCTGCTTTGCCGCAGAGTTTTACGGCAGTAAGTTCAAGTCGAATGTTCCGTTTGTTAACTTTTACCGGTTTCTAATCTGCTGTACTGGCAGCTGATTATGGTGCAGAGGGCGGTTGAAGCATTTGGTTTTGATCGAAAAGTCCTTAAGTAGTTTCTGGGAGCTGTTGGGGTTTCGGAACCGTTCCCAACCGCCCTCAAACGTTTCGATGTTGGAATGAAGAATTTGTGCCGGGTTGCGTTGCGTTCAGGTGCTTCTGAAGCACCTGAATGGCTTAAGCCCCGATTCCCGTGCGGTTCTTTGGTAGTAGGATCGACTTCAGATTTGCCTTGTGCGAGCACACGGTGAGAGAGCTTCTTTGGCTGAAAAAAAAAAAAAAAAAGTATTTTTTTTTTCTTTTTCTTTTTTCTTTCCCCCTGCTGGATCCATTCCCCGACGTGATTCATCGTACGGTCTTACAAGCGGGCAGGGCAACTTAAGCCACCGTCATAGCGAGAAACCACCAGAATGTAAAATGATAGCCTTAGCGTCCTTCTACCCCACGGCGCTTATTTTAAGTCTTTTTAGTCTTTTTTTTTTTTTTTTTCTCTCCAAAAAAACCAACTTCGCGTAACTCTCCAAAAAAACCAACTTCGCGTAACTCTCCAAAAAAACCAACTTCGCGTAACTCTCCAAAAAAACCAACTTCGCGTAACTCTCCAAAAAAACCAACTTCGCGTAACTCTCCAAAAAAACCAACTTCGCGTAACTCTCCAAAAAAACCAACTTCGCGTAACTCTCCAAAAAAACCAACTTCGCGTAACTCTCCAAAAAAACCAACTTCGCGTAACTCTCCAAAAAAACCAACTTCGCGTAACTCTCCAAAAAAACCAACTTCGCGTAACTCTCCAAAAAAACCAACTTCGCGTAACTCTCCAAAAAAACCAACTTCGCGTAACTCTCCAAAAAAACCAACTTCGCGTAACTCTCCAAAAAAACCAACTTCGCGTAACTCTCCAAAAAAACCAACTTCGCGTAACTCTCCAAAAAAACCAACTTCGCGTAACTCTCCAAAAAAACCAACTTCGCGTAACTCTCCAAAAAAACCAACTTCGCGTAACTCTCCAAAAAAACCAACTTCGCGTAACTCTCCAAAAAAACCAACTTCGCGTAACTCTCCAAAAAAACCAACTTCGTTTAATGGAAATGAAGGAGAAAAAGATGCTCCAGGAAGGCTGAGGAGCAGGGCAGGTCGGTAGAAAACCCCGAAGAGTGGCGTTTGTTGTGGGTAGGTGGGTAGTACGGCGGAGAGGAGGCTGAAGTTGTCTTTTTGTAGAAGCCGGGCGCCTCTGGGATGAACCGGGAAATGCGGCGGGTGGGTTTGTAGAGCTGCGGAATAGGTTCTGCAAGGGGGGAGAGGCCAAAAAGATGAGGGCTCTTCACCTTCAAAGCGAGAACGGAGAACGCGAGTAAAAGCTCTCGCGTGCGTTCTCGCGACGCCCAAATTTGTGCCGTTTGGTCCTTTTCTGGCTGCTGTCAGAGGGAGGAGTTGGGACGCACGCAGCTTTTGGGTTGACCCAGCTGGGTGCCGCCGGCGGTGTTGGGAAGCCGAGGAAGAAGAGCAGGTCGCAGCGGCTGAGGGCAACGGGATGGCGCTGAAAACGACAGATGGAGGTGGAGGAGGTGGAGGTGGAGGTGGAGGAGGTGGAGGTGGAGGAGGTGGAGGAGATGGAGGTGGAGGAGGAGATGGAGGTGGAGGAGGAGATGGAGGTGGAGGAGGAGATGGAGGTGGAGGAGGAGATGGAGGTGGAGGAGGTGGAGGAGGTGGAGATGGAGG